TATATTTGCCATTAATGTTAATAATACAAGAGTAATATTTATGTTTTTTAATTTTCTCTATTATGGATTAGGTTATTTTTGGATTAAACCATAAAATATTTTTTTAATTAATAAAAAAATCTAAATCTGTTACTGATTATTTCACTAACAACTTACTTGAATATATTGATTAACAAATAATTCTTCTACAATTTTTCTATCATTATCTTGTAATCCAGCATGATGGAGACCTAATCCAAATGCAAGGCATAATTTTAAATTAGGATCTCTGATATTTTCAATAATTTGATCCATTTCCTAATACAAATATTGAAATTTAAATATTTTATGTTAGTTACACATAAAACAGATAATTTTAACATCAGCCACTCAATTTCTCTTAAAAAAATAATTATGTTGCAAAAACTCTTTTTGNTCTCAATTTCTCTTAAAAAAATTATTATGTTGCAAAAACTCTTTTTGATATTTTTTAGTTTTATATACTTCTTGATTTATCAAATATAAGTATTTTTTTAATACTAGACATTTTTCAGCCTCATTCCTCCTCCTGCTTAAGTATAACTTCTGAAATACTGATCCAAAAGTTTTTATCATCCAGTTTTTTTCTTAATTACGTCATTTTCTATTTTATAAACTAGTTATATATATGTTGCAATTAAAAAAAATAAAGTTGACACCCTTATACAGAATAAGGGATGAATTAATAATTGATAAATCAAGAAATATATGAAACTAAAAAATATTAAAAAAATATAAAATACATATGATTAGACGGTTGTTAAAATAAGAATTAACTATTTATAATGAAATATTCATAGAATTTATAATAAACAGCACTAAATATAAAGTATAAAAAAAAAATCTATTCATTTCTTACATAATCATTCTTATGAACCCATTGTTTAGGGTTATCTTCTCCTCCTAAATATGCTATTAGATCAAGTGCAGTTAATCTAGTTTGCCTTCTTGATGATACAAAAATCATAACAGGTTGAGTAGGAGAATGTTGACGTATAGCTTGATAAATTGGCTTGTTCATAGTTGCCATTCTAGGACAATAATTTCTTCCTGCATAGCCACTAATATGCACCTCAAGTGGAACAGGCCGTACAGAAGGACGAAAATTGTAAAGACCCATTTCACCGATATGTAACCAAGAAGCTAGATCAGCAGCGGTTGATAAAGCAGTAGTTAATGCAATAATGCGAGTATGCTGACCAGAATGAGTTGAAATGAAATTTATACGGGATATAATTATTTCTAAAACTGGTCCTCTTTCTTCTCCTAGTAAATGAACTTCATCAAGAACCACTAACGCAACTTGTCGAACATAATTTCGTGTTTGCCAACTTCGTGAAACACCATCCCATTTTTCTGGTGTTGTAACAATTACAGAAGCATTAGTTATTGCTTTAATATCTGGTGTAACATCACCTAAAATTCAATTCAAAGATATCCTTTAATATTAATAGTTTTTATTGTATAAAATACAACCTAGTACCTGTTAATTCAACAACTGACTTTTTTAACTTTTCTTCAAGTCTTACTTTCCAGTCAATTATTCGTTCTCGTACAAGAGCTTTTAAAGGTGCAATATAAACGACCTGGAAAATTACAAAAAAAGGAACTCTTCCTTGAATATAAATAATACAATAATAATAATACTTTTGGGAGGTAAATCAAATAAACCATAAATATACGTTTTTATTATATTCATGAATAAAATACATAAAATTAAAAAAATACATGTATGTTAATATTTTAGTTGCAAATAAATAACTAACCCTATTTCGCAACTGAACTGTAATAATACACACATGAAATAAACCCATCAATAATAATATTATTGTAAACATATTTCAATTTAAGAAGCCTCTACTATATTATCATTGTAATAGCATACTCACTTTATCAATGAGTAAGCATTAGAATTCAGCATCAAAGCTCTAGACTTATTAAGTATTCTTTATGACTATTCCTTATGTCTTATAAAGAATAACTTTTAATGACAACATGTATTTCACTAGCTTATACAGAGTGATTTTTTTATCATAAACTATTTAATTACTTGCAGAATAAAAATAATCTAAACATTTTTTTTTTGTTACCATTAGTTACATATTATTTTTAAATTATTAGCTATATAATATTAAAAGTTCATCCCTTATATATTGCAAGGGTGTCCATTTTTAAATGGGAACAAATTTTAAATTTAATATATAAGTTTATTTGTTTATTGGATATAAAACTTTTAAGTTTCAACTTTATGAGTCATTACACATATAATATACAAAGGATTATAAGTACATAGGTAGCTAATTGTTTTTTAAATTATGTCGCTATCACAGATACAGAGCGTTTGTACTGCCAATTGGTATATTTATAAGCTCACAATGTATCTTATTACCATTGATAAAAAACGATGCATATCTGCTAATATTGACATCATAAAAAAACAATTATTATATAATATTTAACATTATATTTTTAATATATAATAAAGTTATATATTAAATTCAAATGCCATTTACAATTAAAATAAAACATCAAACATTTTACTATGTTAAAATGTGTTCCCATTTGAACAAACAAAGTTGACATCCTTACAATACATAAGAGATGAACTAAAAAGTATTACATAACTACTAATTCAAGAATAATATGTTTAAGTTATATTCTGTAAGTAATTGAGTAGTTTATGAAAAAAAATTACTCTGTATATTAGAAAATAATCTAATCAAGAAAATTATTTAACTATAATTTTAATACTTAAATCAATTTATTTTATTTTATTTACAAATGTTCAAGGAGTAAAAATATTAAATGTTCTAAGTGTCAATTTTTTTTTCAGAGGACAAAAATATTACAAATTTAAAAATCAATAAAAAATATTTATAAAAATATAAAATGTACTTTTTTTATATAATTATAACCTCTTTAAGTTTAATTATTATTTATTTATAGGTTTCTAACACAAATTCTTAGTCTACTCAAAGAAAAGAAAGTACCCACAATAAACTTATGAATTGATAAATTTATAAAACTTAAAAATAATCCGAATAAACACCAACCCAGAATTAAAAATATATCTCAACATTAAAACAATTTATCCAATCATTCAAATTTTTATAGTACTAAATTCTTTATATCACATACTTTAGCTTCAGGCTGTTCATTGAATACTCTAAACATAGCAATTTCTGCAGCAATAGTTTTACCGGATCCAGTAGGGGCTCCTAAGAGTACATTATTATCTGTATGATACAAACAATGAAAAATTTGAGTTTGTATTGGATTGAAATGAGTAAACTTGTATAAATTTTGGTAGTCTTGATTTTTAAGAGCTGATAATGGCAATGGATGAAGTTCAAGCAAGTCTAACCAAAATTATATAAATATTAATTAATTCTAAACTTAGGAAATAAATTTATAAAATACCTGTTACTGAAGCATGGCTGTGAGGTAATATAAGATGTTGAAATGTTAAGGGAATTGTGTAAGTAGTACCCAGCCATCTATCTGATGTACAGTGTAAAATGTATTGAGACGGAAGTGGTTCAACAAGAGGTATTGTAAAAACTAATTTTTGAACTTCTTTTTTGATAACCTTTTTTTTTTTTTAAAGGGACTTTTAAGTAATATTTCCTTAATTTATTTAATAATTTAAACATACTTGTCTTTTTGAAATTAAGAATTGTTCCCAATGATAAATATGATCAGTTTCAGGATCTTCTATCCAAATCCAAAATGCAACTGATGTTTTCCCATGGAATTTATCATTCCACTCAAATTCTGGGTAAAGTTCAAGATTTATTCTTAAAATGGTTCTTGTAATAGGTTGAATACTCTCTGTAGCTTCAATATAAGGCAGCTGCATAGCACATTTTTTTACTGCAGCACCAATATTTTGGTTTCTTAATAAAATTCCTAAAAAATAAGTAGAATCTCAATATAAAATATCATTTAACTAGGGATTAGACTTTTGAATTTTAATATTTAAAATAAAAAACTTACCTAACTCTTTTGAGTCCATTTCTCTAATTTGATTAAATGTTAATTTTCTTTGTTCTATTTTATCAATAATTTCCCAAGGAAGAACATCTGAAAATTGCCTCAATTCAGATTCAAAGTCCCATTGTCTCATCTCAAACATTTGACTGACTTCCAACAGTTTCGATGATAACATGGCATTATTGCGACGTAAGACCATGTCAAACAGGGCCCGGGCAATTCTTGTAGCATTCTAAGTTTTATAGCATAGTCATTAACGAAAATTTATGTTATTAACAAAATTTAGGAACATTACTACAACACCATACAAAATTCCAGCTTACTTGTGAGATATAAACAAGGTCCGATATTAATGAAAATCCTTTTGCTCTACCTCTAGCTAAATAAGTTTGTAAAAGAATGTTTACTTTGCCATTAATATTCACTGCTGATCCTTTGCATTCAACATGACAATATTTGCGACTTAATGATTCTAACTCTACCACTTCATCATCTCTAACCTAGAAAATTCGATTTATTTTTTAATTTGGACTTCAATTTATCATTTAGGTTAACAATTAATATTAGAGGAAAATAAAAATTACTTGTAGTTGCTCAAATTCTTTTGCACTTGCTATCATAGTAAGTATTTCTGATAAGTTCATAAAAGGTGCCATGGTCTGATTAAATATTTCAATACTGTCATGACTTATGTAAAAATGACTGGCAGTTCGTCCCAAATCTAAAAATATAATTATTTAAGTTTCAATTAGATATAATTGAAATAATAACTAAAGCTACATATTTTAACAAATAACAAAATAACTTATGACCTAAACCATATGATTATAAGATATATTAAAAAATTATACACATTATTCTAAAATAAATATGAAGGGACTTCTAAAAATAACTTTTTTTTTAAATACTTGATGCAAATTATGTTCAATTTTTTATTTATACAATTTATATTTATCTATATATGAGGAGAGAAATTTTGTTTTATGTGCAAAGGAGAATATGAGGTAGGTGAAATAAGGAGTTCAGTGACAATAGACGAGGATGTGATAGGAAAGGGGGAAAGTTTTAAATATTTAAAATCAGTTGTGCAAAAGAGCGGTAGTATTGATGAGGATATAACACATAGGATTAAGTGCAGGTGGTTAAAGTGGAGGGAAGCATGTGGTGTATTATGGTATAAAAGAATTCCAATGAAGCTAAAAGGTGAATTCTATAAGACTGTAGTGAGAGTAGCTATGATATATGGTTCAGAGTGTTGGGCGGTTGATAAGAAAGTAGAGAAGAGAATGAGTGTAGCAGAGATGAAAATGCTTAGATAGATGAATGGAGTTATTAGAGAAGATAGGATAAGGAACGAACATATAAGAAGGAGTATAGGTTGTAAGAACATTTATTACTACGTTCTTACCACTTATATTATACACGTTTTATTTCCATTTTTATAGAATATTTAGAATTTTTGTTCAACAGTCAACTATTCTAACAGTCTGGAGCTGGTATTTTACATGCCAATCAAAAGCCTAGCTCCTCCACCCCTCGACTCGCGTCACTCAATGCTGCTTCCATGTTGGTGGTCGTTACCGACCATATAGTAAATACATTTTAGCGTCGAGGTATCTATGAAAACTATGTTCAAATAAACAAAGTTTTTCCAACTACATTGATTTTGTCCAAACAGACTCACAAATTAAAAAAACAAGATTTGTACAGTTACTGCATAAAAATTTGCTTTGAAGTTATAAAATGGTAGCAACTAGACAACAATGTAGTGGAAGTTTTAGTTCTGGTACAAATAGTAAAGCTGACTGTATTACCTAAACCAGAAAAAAATATTTTGTTTGGCAATGTGATTATTTGTGCACCTTACAACTCCAATCAATCAAGTCAAGTGAATCTATAAGATCTACCCTATGAAATGTAAATAAAAGCAAAAAATCTTATAGTGGTAATGAACTTTAAGAACAACAGACTAAGTCGTATTAGGCTATTATAACAAATACCATGAATATCGTACACTATCAATTGAAATGAATACCACAACTAATTAGGTAAGAAAACAACAATTTAAAAACATATGAAGATACAAGATTATAAGAAGTTTTGTGAACACAACAAGGTTCCCTCCCCTAATTATAAAGAAAACCATAACTTAAAAGTTTAAAAAGCATTTTTAGATAAATTTTTTTTTCCTTTCTTTTAATATTTTGACCTTTTGTAAGGTTCAGAGTGGAACCTTTAATAGGGGAGAGGGTAATGTAAGAAAATTTATTACTATGTTCTTACCACTTATATTATACATGTTTCATTTCCATTTACTTAATTTGTGATACATATTAATTAACACAGAGGGAGATGGTGATGTGACAATTCTACTCATCTGTAGCCCAGAGCTACTGACGTCAAACTAACAAAGGGCAGTTATATGTAAGTCACTGTTATAGACATAACTTTTAATGCTATTACTTTCGTCTTATTTATATTATTAATAACTTAACTTGTTTTATTTGACGACTCGTCTATTGCCAATCATAGCCAACCAACTCTGTTTCACTTGGATATGCCTACTAACCAACTGTACTAAGATTCAGGTCAGATGTATTGTACATTACATATGACTTATATTTACTGAATATCTAAAATATACCTTTACTTTGTCATTGACATAAAACAGTAGTCTAACTTTATAATATAATCTATTTCTTGTAACTAAAGTGCACGATTGCCTGTGTCTCCTTCAGGTTATTAAAACTCATTTAAAGAGATAGGGACAATATTTGGGCAGATGACGGGTAGCTTCTGATTCTTGGTTTTGACCAAGATCCTCAAATATTAAGCTAGCCCCTAATAAGGTATAGCGTCAATCATAGATGAGATGAGAGAAAATAGACTTAAATAGTTTGGTCATATTATTAGGGGGAACGGAAGCAGTAAGAACAGTTATAAAAATGAATGTTAAAGAAAGAAGAGGTAGAGGAAGACTAAAAGAGATGAAGGAATGTAATTGAATGCAATATGAGGACGATGTGATGTGAGCATAGATGATGTGGGAAATCATATTAAGTGGAAATTTTTCTTTACTTTACATCGTTGTTTAAAGCATAAATCACAGCCACTAATTCAATGTTGTTTTAATTGAAGGCAAATTTCTTTTTTTATTCACCTATATAATAAAACTGAATAAAATTTAACTTTCACAGTACTCTATAAGACATTTAAAATAAAAAATAAAACTGCTTAAATGTATATAATGGATGTAAAAGCACATTTTTTTCAAAATGATTTTCTATTTATGTCTACTGGCGGATAAACCGCCATGTGTAAAATTTTATAGTTTTTATTTTTTTTTTAAAAGAACTTTTTGATATTTAGATCACTTAATATTATCACATTAATAATTTTAAGTTTATATAGAATATGTAATATAGGTCATTATTTTATAAAACTGAAAAGAAAGCATTTTTGTAATGTTTGGTTTAACTATGAATTTCTTAATCTATTATTACAAAAATATAATATAGTCTATTATTTGTAAACCTAGAAGTAGAACACTTATGTAATGTTTGGATTAATTGTAATTCCCAGAATTATTGTTACTAGATCAGGAAGTAAATATTTATAAACCTTTTTGAAAATGATTACTATATGAATTTTATAAAAGACAAACAAAATATTTTAGTATATAAGATGAAACGGAATGAATTAAAAGGGGAGAAAGAGAAGACCTCGGGAGTACCGAAGGTAATCTCTTTCCGTGTGGTACGTTTGTGACTTTAAGTTTTTATTTTGTGTATTATTTATTTATCCGTTTTTTAAGTGTATCAATATTTTATATGTTTTTATTTTGATTGATTATATCTTTATTAACTACATTTTGCGTTATTATTGAACTACTAAAAATATAAGTTAGAACAAAAGATTGTTCTACATATATAAATACAACAAAAGATAATAATAAATATAATAAAATTATTTTCTAACCAGTGGATGCGAGATCTCCAGTTCTCTCGTTGTAACGTAACATTTGAGCTCTATCTAATGCCATAGCTGCATTTATGATGAATTCTTTTCTTTTATTAACTAACATAGGATCCAACTATATTATTAAAAATAAAATATCAATAAAAGTTTTTAGTATATTTTTTTAATTGTTTTAAGGTAATTACTTCTACTTCATCTAGTAATATACCATACACATGTGGATTTATACGCATTCTAACAAACAAATAAGTATAGCTTAACCATAACACTGCTTCTTCTACATTAGATATTGTACCTAAAACTACCTATTAAAAATTTTAAATGGTTCAAAAAATTTTATTATTAAATAAATACTTTTCATATTATTTAGAACATATGATTAGGTCGATTTAAAAAGGGAATTATTCATTAGTTACAATTATACATACAATTTTATAACTACTCTCTAAATTTAAAAATAATTTATTACTTTTATAACGATAAGGAACTTTTTTACATGAACCTAGTTATATAGTTATTGAAATTCTTGAATAGTTATAAAAGTATTTAAATTACTTTTAAGGATTTTTTTCTTACTTCAGCATTTAAATTGTTAACAAGATGTTGCACAAAACAACTTTCAATTGGTATTTGATTTGTTAGTAATGAAAGGTATTTATGTAGTTTAGCATGAGGAGTAATTATAATTCCATGTCCAGAAGTATCAAACTGAGGACGACCAGCTCTTCCAAATATTTGCAAAACATCAAGCATACCTAGATCTACAAATGTTCCATGTTTAGAGTCATACAACTCTGTACCCTAAAAAAGTAAAAAAAAATTTTAACTAAATAAAGTTGTGATTGTCATAAAAATAATTTAAAAAACTTGATTTACTTTTATGATAACAGCATGAGCAGGAAGATTAACACCCCAAGCTAATGTAGCTGTACATACTAATACTTTTATGGCACCCTCAGCAAAATATTTTTCAACTAAATTCCTGTAAAAATAGAAATTAAACGGGATATTTAAAATATGATCTATAGTTAAAAATAAATTAGTAAAAAGAAAATTTTAAACAAATATAATATATTTTTAGATTTGATACCTATCTGATCTTAAGAGGCCTGCATGATGAATAGAAAATCCACTGTTCAATAATTCACTTAGTTCTTTTGAATGACATCGTTCAAATGCTTTCTTTGCTACTCCTATCCGGTTGGAATCTTCAGGCAAAAAATCAGATAAATGATTTTTTTGAGTTGCAAGTTCTCTAAATACATTAGCTGTCTTTACGGTAGCATTACGGGCATGAACAAACACCATGACCTAGAATATTATGAAAATTCATTAATATAATTAAAAACTAAGATATTTTATTTAGACAACATCAAAATAATACAGTTTTCACATACTTGATGTCCTTTTTGAACCATTTCATGCACTTTATCATAACAAACTGAATCCATTTCTTGTTGCATTTTAACTGTCTTACTTCCTCGAACCCCAATAAATGTCTGAATCAAAGGCACTGGACGAAAACGTCCATCAAAATAGAATAAACCTTTTTGAAAGTTAACTCTTAAAAATCGAGCAACATCTTTATAATTTGGTAAAGTAGCTGATAATCCAACAATACGAATCATATTTTGAGATGACTCAACCTGTCGTAAAGTACGTGCTACAAGTGCTTCTAACACTGGACCTCGATCACCATGTAATAAATGAACTTCATCAATAATTAATAATTTAACCAGACTAGTTAAAGCAATATCACCTGTTAGAGTAAATCAAAATAAAATATAAATTATGTAATACTTGTAATCTATAAGATTTATAAAAATATATATTTAATTATACCAGTTCCCTTGCGTGTTGCTACATCCCACTTCTCAGGTGTTGTTACTAATATTTGAGTGCTAGTAATTTCAGCTTTAGTTAAAGACATATCACCTGTAAATTCACGAACAGTAATACCCAAACTTAATAGTCTTCTAGAGAAGTTAGCAGTCATCTCAGATGCTAGAGCTTTCATT